CAGAACGATGGGGGTGGAGACGCTTCTTCAGGCATACTGGGCTGAGGCTGTTTAGGGCTTTAAAGGTCAACACCAGCACTTTGAATTGTGTATACAGCTGGTGCCTAAAACAATAAAAGATGCTCTACTCTACCCAGCTTACAGGAAGAGTGAATCCAGGAAACCCCCTGCTTGTAATATTGTCCTGTTTTTGTGTGTGGCTGCCCTCATTTCTCTAAATATTTGGCACTATCTTTTGGTTTTAAGTCTTCCACCCTCATTGTTTGGTGTTACGAGCACTGATACCAATTCTGAATAGCTCCAGTAGTTCTTCAAAGCTTATACAAAATAAATCTTTCCCCTCTAACATCCTTTGTTAGCCAAATGGTGATAACTCAGGCAAGAACAGTACTATTAAAAAGATGACCTTGTAAAAATGAAAGGTTGAATTAGGGGCAGGAATGTTTGAAATAGAAATTCCCAGCAAATCCTTGGTACACCATTGACTCTGTCTCATTTCCTGAATGTAAATATTGAAAGACCTTGAAGGGTTTCCATCATGAGAGCAGCAGCTGTTTGCATGGGAGGGAATAACTGGTTACATTTCGTACATTCATTTAATTCTCAGAACCTTGGGGGTTTTGTTTGTTTGCCTTTAAATGTCCTGACACATTTGACGAAAGAAAGATCTTGGCGTTGTTCTTCCAGAAAGAAAAGTCAGAGATATTATACAATCTCAGTTGCTGCATTCAGGGAAAGAGGGATCCCTGTTTCACATTTTAGACCACATGGGACTATTTGTCATGTCCATATACACTTAGGACCACCCCAAGAAAGGTTGTTGCCTAAGGTGAATCAGCAAATGGTGCCACCTCTCCCCTTCAGATCCAGGTGGGTGGTACTCAAAGTTGGATACATTCTCTTGGCACCTGAGGCAAAAATTTCACTAGTACCCATCCCCCTCCTGCCAGTAAAATATAATGAAAACCAGGTTAAAAACCCAACTATCTACTGCCCTTTCCTAACATCCAGAATGTCTTCACTTTGTCTAATGGTAGAGCCAGCCCTAGCAAGTCCACTGGTTCACTGAAGCTAAGTTCAGACATTTCACTAAACCATGTTTATGCCGTTATAATTATTTTAGCCTTTAAGGTACTACAACTCTGATGCTTGTGCCTGCTTTAGTTTCCTATCGGCTCAGCACTCAGAACCATAAGTTCAGTCCTGTCTCCTTAAAGCAGAGCAATGGCCTAAACTGTGGTTTGACAGTGAATTCAGATGTGACAGCAAACCGCAGCTGATACAAACTGCAGTTTGCAAACCAGCTTTAACTCCTGGTTTGATACCCTGGTTTGCTAGCCCACTGCAAACCACAGCATGGAAACTGGTGTTGCGTCAGTCAGTTACAAACTATGGTTTGGCATTATGTCTGAATGTGGTCACAGAGAGACTATCAGACATTGTTAAATGGGCCTGTGTATTTGTGTCAAAGTGACAAATTTTCTTGATTTAAAAATAGTGGATATTTGAAGTCTGTCGATAACACTGCTATAAATATTATGAGGTGTAAAAAAAGGAAGCACAGAAACTGCTGTTTAAGAGCTTTCTTTTTCTGTCGCTGTGTTATATCTTTAACATATCCAAGAGCTGGTCCTTGAACGTTGCTGAGAACTTTGCTCACACCATAAAGCCTGAAATCGTTCTCCCATGTAAACTATACAAGGAGCAAAATCAGGTGCCTAAATCTGAAAATAATTTCCAATGGAAATATTGCCAGGAGAAGAAAAATACTTTGTCACTTTGCATCAAGTTACATCTTCCTCTATCTCGCCAGATGACAAAAGGAGATGCTCTCCAAAATGATGTGTTGGAAGTCATCTGATGGCCAGGACATCTGAAGTCCTTGCCTGCCTTAACCTCCTAAAGCGGACCTCCCACTGCTCCCTATGCCTCAGAGAAGCCCAAAGGGCAAGTCTTTGTAAGAAAAGAATGCCTGGGGTTTAGCTGCTTAATTCATACTTGAATGCTTAAATAAGGTCTCAGTTCTGCATTGTGAGCCATGAGGGTGGACAGCTGGAACTTGCAGTCTTGTCTGCAGAAGTCTAACTGAGGTATCTGAAGCTCATGAATGCTGTTACATTCACAACATGTGTGAAGAGAAGATGCCCATTTATAGGGTCACCTTCAGACTTGGTATTTCATGAAAGGGATTCAAGAACATATTGAAAATTTAGGTTTATGCACATAAAGCGGATTAAATTGTTCTGTTGCCCTTAAGAAACCCATTCATTTTTAAAAAACAAAAACAAAAAAACAAAATGGACTTCCTGCAATTAGGAAAGTGATGGGGACAGGTACTGAAACATGTAGGATGAATGAATGGTTAATGGGAAGATGTGCAAAATATTATATAAGGATTTTGTCACCATATAATATTTTGGGGGGCAAATCAGAATGAATGCTCCGTAAAGACCTGACACTTAGCTATACAGCTGCAAATAAAACGTTTTAAATGTGTTGTAAAGTGCAATATGCAGATGTGACACTAGATGGCGAGAGAGAGCTATGCCAAATTCAATGTATTTTTCAAAACTTTTTTTTTAAAAGGATTTTCACAGCGTTTTTAATATGTGTGTAGATTCTACCCTCATATAGTCTAATCTCTGTGCATGGTTTGTACAAGAAAATCAAAATGGAAGCTTAATAAACAGGATGTCTGGAAGAGCCATAAGTGTTTGTTGTTGTTTTTTTAAATCATTTTTATTAAGTTTTCCATTTTAACAATCCAATCAGATCACATTAAATATTCCAAATTATACATATACATATCAAATAATCCAAATATTCTGCCAAATTATAATTTTTTGGGGGGACTTCCCATGCTTCAAGTTCGGGGGGGTGCGCCTCTGATCATCTCATATCTCTGCTGCTTTGGATAGTCATTTCTAATAGTTCCTTTAAATCTGCTGGTTGTTTTCCTTCTTTCACGGCCTCTGAGTTGCAGAAGAGCCGTAAGTGTTTGGATAGGGACTTGGATGAGCTATTTGAAGATTCCAGATTCTGAGCTCTGTTGAAAACTGTTTTTATTAGCTTTGGCATGTTCTTTTTTTGTGCGGAGACTGCATGTGGTGGGATCTGCATAGGGCTCAGCAGAACCCACTCACCCAGCATTCCTCCACAAGAAAATATCAGGGGAGCTCTAGAACTTGAGGAACTTGACTGGCTAGAAAAATGACTGGGGGAAATAAAAAAACAGCAATGCAGCAGGGTGGTGAATCTGGCATTGCTCCAAGAATACGCATAAACACAGTCCAGCATAAAGGTAAATTAGGTTTGCTATGCCACTTTCTCTATGGATTAAGCAGGGCAGCATCACAAGCCTTTCTTAGATCTCTCCTCCCAAATACAGCTGTTTTAAAGCCGTTCCTTGGCTAGACACCTTGCTTAGCTCCTGCTTTGTAGTGGTTTACATGGGGGATTCATGGCAATTCCTGAGAACATTTCTTCTTCCTTTGCCTCCCAATATGGCACCCTGCCTTGCTCACAGTCCTGCAAGCATCTGTCTTCTCCACCGAGATGCTTTATCTCATTATTTTATCTCCTCTTGTAAAGTGCTTTAAGATGCTTGTATGAATGGGGGTACATAAAATTAAATTGAATTCAATTGATCATTTTAGTAAAAGTAAGATTTTTGGGCTGTGAAACATTGGCTTCTGAGAGAATTTTTAAAGGTTATAACTTTTGGCAGTAAAAGCAAGGAAATTCATAGTTACAGGTGTCACGCCAACTTTAAATCAACCTTTTTTTATTAGGTGTGGCAGTGGTCTAAGATCACAGGAATCGATGAAAGAGGACATGGTTTGCAATCATAAAAATACAAAGATAACACAAGTGAATAGCAGAGAACCTGCACAAGCGACACTGACACAACCCCCCCCATATATTAAGTAAAATAGAAACATCGTCACCCCACCCCACCCCCACTCACCTTTCCCCCCTCCACCTATTTCCCCCTTTACTTCCTAATGTCTCAACAAATGAAACTGATATGTAAAAAATGTTACTTGAAAAAGAGAGAGAGAGATTGCACACACTTTTGTAAACCAAGAAAATCTTTAATAAAAATACATTAAAAAATACAAAGATGTAAGATTGAAAAAATGTGAAGTTTCATATTTTTAATATTTAAGTCCCCATCAATTTGAGGTGGAATGTTGTTACCAACTTGTTTGTTTCTTATATCCCACTTTTCCTCCAAGGAGTTCAGCACTACATACATACCGTAATTCTCCTCTCCCCTATTTTACCTTCAAAACAACCCTGCAAAGCAGGCTAAGGCTAAGGAATAGTGACTTCCCAAAAGTCACCCACTGAGCTTTGTGGCTGAGGTGGGATTTTGCTAATAGGTTTGTCTCTTTAGGTTTCCATTAAACTTAAGATAAGAAAATTGATGGATGGACCCTGCCTTTAGCATGGGACATATATTGTCCAGCTGGTCTTTTCATACCTCCTTTTCCAACTCCAGAGTGCCACACAGAATCATAAACTCATAGAACCATAGTTCTACTTACAGGCAGGTAGCCATGTTGGTCTGCTATAGTCGAAACATTTTTTTTTTAAAAAAATCCTTCCAGTAGCACCTTAGAGACTCAGAAGGGTGTGTGTGTATAATGAGATAAAGCTATTTTTAGTCATCTCACCCCTTGCTTTTTCCTGTAAGACCAATTGCAGTCATTAACAGTCGTCAACAGGTTTCCCACACCTATCAGCCAATCACCCATTCCCACCACCCTTCTGAGTAATACCCCTCCCCACCCTCTCACTATATATAAGGGTCTGGTGACTTCTGTTTCAGTGTCTCTGAAGAAGTGTGCATGCACACGAAGGCTCGTACCAAGAACAAACTTAGTGCTACTGGAAGAAATTTTTGTTTTTGTTTTTGTTTCATAGAACCATAGAATTGTAGAGCTGAAAGGGACCAGAAGGGTCATTTAACCCAACCCTCTGCAATGCAGGAATCTTTTTGCCCAATGTGGGGCTTGAACCCACAACCCTTGGATTATGAATCTCTTGCTCTACCAAATGAACTATCTGATAGAGGAAGAAGCTGTAGAGCAAAATAACCCAGGCAACTCGAGTAAGTAAGCCAAACCATTCGTATTATAGAGAAACAGTCTACTAGAGAGGAATTGTAAATGCTACCTTTGCCATTTGGATTTTTAAAAAATTACTTAGAAGTTAAGTCCCAAATAAGCGTATTTAGGCCAGAAGCTTTGGGTTAACATTTGGGGTGTGTCTTTGTGGTAATAAGTATTTGGGCTATTATGATGAGCTCCTACATTTCAAAGTTCGCCACTACACACCACTGGCAACAGTCTGTCTTTAATTTTTTTGTAGGGTACAAAACGATTGCTTTTAGGAAATGGGATATAGAAATTTGAAGAGTGAACCTATTACTTGTGAAGAAAGATTTCTTTAGGAAGATTATGAATAATGAAAGTAGTCTGTGATCGTATTTCCTCCTTGATACAAATAATTAATTAGGTAATGAAATCTCTTTTATCACCCTAACATAAAATTAAAGACCCAGGGTAAATGAGGTTTCAGCCTAATTTCTCAACAGAAGCATTCCCTTGTGACCCTTCATGTTAGTACAATAAGGGAACTTTGGGTTGAAAGAAGATGTGTATGTGATAAAAGAGGCAAAATGGGCCATCAAAGCTCCACTGCAATGCTTAAAGTTCCCTAGCTCTATCTAGTGGCTGAAAAGACACACATTTGTCATTAGAAAACCATGGCCCCAGTAGGATGTGGTACTGGGTGGAATTTATTTTGTTTCCTCTGCCTTATTTGCACAGTGGGAAATGCAGTGAAACTTTGGGGTAATGCCTGCTCTGACGCAATGTTGTCTAGCCTTCCTGCAAAAAAATTGGGATGAATGCTCAATAAATAGGTCATCTGGAGGTGTCCGGGGACTCTTGCTGATCTACTGCAAATCACCCCATGATCTGTCAGTGGATCCCAATCTACCTTCTGTTGTTGTTTTTTTTAAAAATAATATTTATTGCTTTTAAAAGTTACAAAAAAGTAGAAGAAAGAGAGAAAAGACAAAAAGGAAAAAAGAAAAAAAAGACAAGAAAAAAGAAAAACAAAAAAGAAAAACAATACAATATATAAACCATACAAACCCACCCTAAACCCATTAAACTAAACACATAAACAAAGCAAGACAACAACAATTTAAAAACATCCCTCCTTTTCCATACTCTGTCCTTCATTCCCTTGTTTCCTCGACTTCCTCGCACCTCCCTTCTTGTATCCCACTTCTAGTACTTGTTTCAGCAAATCCTTTCCATCTTTCTCTATTTTCTGTCATATTATAAATAACATATTCTTTAACCTTATTTCCCATTAAAGGTAAATTACTTATATACACCCAACATCTTATAGCATTTCTGCTAAATCCATAAAATATCATTCCACCATTTTTCTAACAGTCATTACTTTAACAAAATTTCTAAATAAACACTTTAAATTTTCCAATAATCTTCCACTGTCTCCTCTCCCTGGCTTCGGATTCTGCCAGTCCTTTCCGTCAGTTCCATATAATCCATCAACCTGGTGTTCTTATATCCGAGGCTCTTAAATCTCTTCCAAGTCCCTTCTGCAGGTCTTCTTCATATTCTTTGATGCTCAGGAGCAAATCTTGGGAAAACTCCAGCCTAGCAATACTTTTGTTCCTTCTGGACAGTTCAGCCAAATTTCCAAAGTTAAAAATAAAGTCCATAGAGTGTTTCAGAACGTATTTCAGGATTCCTCCAATTCTAGCGACCCCCAAAACTTCAAGCTCCTCCAAACCCAGGTCCATGTCCCAAAAGTCAGTCAATCCCTGGATAGAGGGTTCTTTCCAACTTTCCTTCTTCAATCCAAGCCGGGATCCTAGCCTCAAAATTTGACTTTTGCTAGATTCAGTCATGAAAGACCTCAATTTATAATCCTCAATTTGCTTCTGAGAAATTAAGGATCCCGCTTGTACTACTTTTGGTTTCACATCATCAGCTTTCTCCTTTTTCTCCACCCTTTTCACATCATCAGCTTTCTCCTTTTCCTCCACCATTTGTCCAACCAAGATATGTTCCTGTACCAAATCCTGAGTTGTTTCTGTATTGACACTCACTTTTTGACTCAAATTAATCACGTTCTGTTCCAAGTTGTCAATTTTAGAGATCGTGTCATCTGTCTTTTTATGGAGCTGTTCCAGCGAGTAGTTTATCTTGTATAATACAGTCACAATAGCTTCTCCTATCAACATTTTGAATGATCCAAGGTCAGACTCTAGTTTTCAGAATCTTATCTTGCAGCTGGAGATCTCCCTGTTGCACTCCTGTAACAGTTTCACATGCTCCCTCTAGAGGGAAACAATCTCCATTTGTATCAATTCTTTCAAGCACGACTCAAGCAGATAACAGTAGTTTCAATTTTCGGTTACTTTTTCCTCCATTTTTAAACGCAGAAGAGGACAATGGAAACAGTGCCTTTCTTATTTTAGCTAGCTGTCAAATCCGTTCTGTCAATAAACATTCCCTGAACGTCATCTGGCAGCCCTTTTCCAGGTTCAGAGCAGTGGCAATTTGATTTTCACTCTCTTCTGCAGGCACACTAGATCCAAAACTTCCCCCCTCTTCTCCTGCTTCCAAGAGGGGTTATATATTTTTGTCTGGTGGGAATTTAATCCTTTATCAAAAGCTTTCAAAGACTTTAGCTTCTAACGTCTTTGCTTCAATCTATTTACAAAAACGGGAGGCGGACTTCCTGTTTAGAGCCTTCCCGCTTCGGCGCCAAATTAAAGTGTTTCAAGATCCAATTCTCCGTTCTACTCACGGGTAGTCGTTTAAAATCCAATTGTCCACAGGAAAAAGTCAGCGCTCTCCGGCAACAGCAATGCGGCTTCACTCCGTGAAAGAAGCGGTCGATTCAAAGCACCGCGCCGCTCACCCCACGTCGCTCTGGATCCCCAAAACAGGGTTTCCCCGTGAGTAGGGGAGGCGCAAAGGGTGCCAGCCGAATCCCAGGTTCACAGGCTTCTCCCGCCTGTGATTTCTATGGGTCTCCGCCTTCACCGTGGTGGTCAGACCCTGCTTTACACGGAGCAAGTTCCTCCCGATCGGAGGAGCTCCGCCATTGCCGGAGGCGTCAACCCGGAAGTCCCCAATCTACCTTCTGTCCACTTAGATTATGCAGCATAGTTTACTCAGTTTCACTAATACAATGCTCCAAACAAATTTCCACTAAGTCATTTATCCTTTTTTGCGTTAATGGAAATAATAAAATCATTTGTCAACCAATGATCCTAACCTCAAGAGATGCGTGTTAAAACCTGCCTATGGCTGGTGCTTCCTCTCAGCTGTCAGTGCTTCCTCCCACCAGCTTCCAACATGTTCCACACTACTGGTTCTTCTGCAACAGCTACTACAAAGCCCATACATTCTTTCCCTCTTCTGTCATGGCCCAGGCCTCAAGATCAGAGGGGGAGGAGCAGGCTGGGTCCAGGGCTGATATACCACTGGCAGAGGAAATGGATTTGGTTTCTGAAACAGAGCCTGACACAGGACATTCACAAGTGCCATCCTCTGAGCCTGGGGGTTCACATGTCTCCTGAAAGATCCCACACCCCTAATGGTGCAAGAACTGTGCCAGATAGGGGCCTGGCCCTTTAAGTACTGGTCTTCAAGCAAAGGGATGTTGCTTGGAGGGTCATTGGACTGAAGGCTGGTCTATATAAAGCCTGAGTGCACCTCCAACCTTATTGGGAGCAAGTTGCTCACTAGGAGCTTTCAGTCCATAGTACTGAAACTGCTCGGCAGCTTTTTCTTTGGCTCCAAGCTGCCCTTTTCTTCACTCCCCTACAGTCACTGGCCAAACCTGCTAATTTAGCACCTTTTAGTATGGGTTGCTGTATAGCAGGGGTGGTAAGCCTATGGCCTTCAAGATGGTGATGGACTAGGAGTTTCATCATCCCTGATCACAGGCCATCCTGGTTGGAGGTGATGGGAATTAGAGTTTGATAATATATGGAGATATCACAAGTTCTCTAGCCTTGCTGTAGATTTTACCTTCTCTTCCACTTGGGCTCCTTTGGTTCCAGCATGTGGTTGGCAGAAATGATGTCAAAGATTAGACACAAGTCTCTCATTGTGCTTCTCTTCATATATCTGAAATGTTTGGGAGCCGCGATGGCAAACTGTAGCTCATGTGGTGTTATAGGATGCTGAGTTACCCTTTCAGTGGCAATCCACCACAGCAATGCAATGCCCACAAGCAATTAGATCTAAGCACCAAACTTTTCTCAACAATTTACTCCCACACCAAATTGCTTTTTGAACACATGAACGATGTGTTGGGGGAAAAAATGTTTACTGAAAATTCAAATTCTATATATATTTTTTAAAAAATCATCTTTAAAGCTTGTTTTTTAAAAAACAAAAACAGCAAGGCTATATCAGAGCAATGCAGTTATATCACAATCCTTTTAAGAAGCATAGAGCACAAGGAAGGGTTATCAAGCTTAAAACATTTTGAAACTTACTTTGATGAACATTTGCAAAACTCATAAAGAGATTTTTTTTTGTCCTTTGGTAAAGCTTTTATGGATAATTTAAAAACTCTAAATGCATGTGCATGTCAGTAATTTATTCTGCAGAGATTGTCATTTAATTGAATTGTAACTAGCATAGTTGTTCTGACTACACCCTCAGGAGGCTTTGAAAATGAGAAAAAGAACACTTTAGATTGTTTCTCCTTGATTAGAAAAAAAAGAGAGAGAGAGAATGCCCTACATATTTTTTGAAATGCTGGATCCTCTAGCTGACAGAACCACGGAGTCCTGTAGAACAGATTAGACATTTTCCAGATATCTTGAGCTATTATAGGCAAACATGTTGCAGCATATTAAAAAAACAACCCTGCACCAGTTACTCGAGGGTATTTTTTTTAATGGAGAACAGAAAATTCATTTTATTATGAGAAGACTGCAGCATATGAGCACAATCTTCATCAAGTTGCCACCTCTTTTTCTGGCAGTGCCAGGCCCTTAGT